CATTTGAGTGCCGATATTATTTTCACGGTATTCTCATTATACAGAGGTACACTAAGTAGGCAGAAGCGAGACAGTGTTGTTTTCAAGTATATAAAGATTTCAGACATGAATATTGAGTAAATCTTTGAAAATCTACACAATATAGCTATAAATTGATCTTATGCATTACGGGCGTTCAATTTAATAAGTGCCGATAATATTTAGACGGTATATTCATTATACAGAGCTAGGAAGGAGCTAGACCGCCTAGACAGTGCAGTTCAGTGTATAAACATTTCAGACGTAAATTTAGACCGTGTATTTATTACACATTCTCATCGACTGTATAAGGTGCTACATCACAGAATAGATGGCTATACTCAGTACAAAGAGCGAAAAATTGCATCAGATTTGTATCAGATCAATAAAGCATAAACAACTATTAATAAACAGAAGCGGGTAAACGTTTGTACGGCGTTCACGAAGAAAAAAACTTACGAGACTAAAGGAATCAGTTGAGTCAGAGCTCCTTGTATAAATATTAGAAAGACGAGGAGATAGCCAACGTATTTAGGTGTTATCGCCAACGTGTTATCGCTAATCGCTTAATTGGCTCGCCAACAAGCTTTATGCAAAAGAAGAAAAAAGCACGGAGGTACATGTAGCCAACGTGTACATTCACGGACCGTGCCTTTGTTTACTGTCTAACTAGTGTCTAGCACAACGCCGTTGTCAACGGTGCAAACTCGTATTCAGTGCAACGATAACTCTGCCAGATCTTACGAGAATCAATCTGTAGTATTCTGTACACAGAATTGTATCAAAGCTTGCCAAAAATGTTTTAAACACTGCTATAACTGTGAAACTATTGAAATCTAAAGTGATATTTATATTCAACACATGCGAAAAGCTGAAAATAGACCACGTCACACTGGGAAAAGTCAAAGGTCAATAAAACTTGTTATTGTGAAACATGTCACAATTAAGTTAAAATGCGGAAGCGGATGGAGCGGTCCACGGAACGGATATGCGGATAAAATACGGAACGGGTGAGGATAAAATGCGTCTTTTAATGATGTAACGACGTAGTGCTTATTATTCATAACATATCTTATACAGCTATTTCAATTATAGTTTATTAGATAAATTTAGCATAGCAGTAGCCTCGTGGGGATGCTTTTAGCGACAACTGCAAATGCAAATGAAAATTTAGAATATGCAAAATTTGGTTGTTGGTGACACAATAAATAGATGAATTGCATCAGTTTCACAAGGCACGTTCCTGATGTGTTAGGCTTGTTTCAAACGTCACGCTCCTCGTGTGCCGAGCGTATTAAAAGCAATAAATAATGAGATGAAATGCCTTTGGTAACTGTTTATTTTGTAGTGTAAGCCATCAAGCTTTTCTAGGTTGTCGGCGACCCTATATAGTTCTTGCAGTGTCTTTTTAAATTTGAAACTTCACACTATCCTTGGATCCCTAGTTTGAACAACCGGCCCCTTTTATATTAATTTTCCGCCGCTTTTATAATATAGCAATGTCAAAAGCCCGCAGGATAAGAAAAATTTCCGTGTTTAAAAGCGGCGGAAAATTTCCCGTGTTGACATTGAGTTATATCAACACGGCTCTTAGCCAATCAGCGTTCAGAATTTACAAATGCTATATTATAATATGATTTATCAGGTTGAAAGTCATTTCCAACGTATATAGAATCGAATATGCATGTCGTTCAACATTGTATATTTTAATAGTATGATTTATCAGATTACAAATAGAATCCAATATGAATTTACAAATGCTATATTATAATATGATTTATCAGGTTGAAAGTCATTTCCAACGTATATAGAATCGAATATGCATGTCGAATCAACATTGTATATTTTAATAGTATGATTTATCAGATTACAAATAGAATCCAATATGTCAACATTGTATATTTTAATAGTATGATTTATCAGGTTCGTTGTTTATTGTATTAATTAATTAGAATCGAATATGCATGTCGTTGTCAACAACACTACAGAGAACAGAAATGACAATTTTGATTGCCATATCTTGCCGCCAGTATTACTGTGATCTGCAGAACACTTCTAATCATGGAGAATGAATGACATATGCATATGATTTATGCGCATGTTAATTGAAATGTTTACACATACATTACAAATCACGAGGCATATAATTTTGTTACAAGTTGCATCAATTTGGTTCCTCGTATTACTCTAGCTTTAGCAACAATGCAGGCTACCCACATGTACGCAGCGCGTACCTATTTTTTTTCAATTAAAAGGGTTGAAATGCGCGTTAAAAACCATCATTCAAAAGGCTGAACTGTGCCTTTAAAGTGCATTGTGCCCTGATCCATCCTACTGTCTAATGCCAGATAATTGTACTTGTCAAGGTGGGAGTCTCTAGATCGTTGGAAATGGCATTTTCAGAGTCTTCTATACCTCTACACACAAGTTTTGGTAGCTTTTATTTAGATATACATAACCATATTGTTGAATACCCACGAGTATCAGGTTGCATGCAGTGATGTTTTGATTATCTATTTTTGGCTTAAATAATGGCGTGATTTTTTTCAGAAGAAAAAAGTTTTATGCAAATGAAGTCACGCTTAATAGTTAAATGTGCAACAAAGCCAACATATTTAAGAACCAGTTGGGTTATTTCGAAATCTCTCAGAATCTGAGATATTAACAAGTGTGAGCTCACCATGAGGTTTTAGTAAGATCCGTGATGCTCATGGTGGATCCGTGAGAGTTGGCAACTGTGATAGTGAGACATGGGTGTTAAGGTTTCCTTCAAATTTTCAATAGCAAATCTTCATTCAAACGAATTACCCCTCAGTTGGTTAATCAAACTATCTGCCCTTGTGTCTAGTTAACCCATTAAGTTGCATTGCACCGCAATGTGCCCAACTTTATAATTATTTTACAAAGGTCTAATGCCAGACGATTTTACTTGTCAAAGGGAGAGTGTTGGCGCTCAATGGGTTAATTAAAAAACAAATGCTTCAAAGAATTCAGAATAGCAATGTAACTAAAACATATTATGATGGCGCCACTGGACATCTTTGATAAACAAATTGGGGGTATATATTTAAGCTGCTGTATATGTCTGAAAAACATACCAGGTAGACTTCAAACAAAAAGTAAATTTATTTAACACCATTGTGTAAACATGTCACAAGTCAAAGTAGTAAACCTCTTCAGGAAGAAGGAAGATAATCTGTATTTGATGTTGACAGAGTGTCCTCATCTTCCACTTCTGAACGGTATCTTGATTTTTTTGTGGAGCAATGGCTATTCTAATGTACTGCTGTGTTGTCTCCTTTCTCGGTTTTCACCAACTAAGGTCTTAAATTAAGGTATATTCTGTCTATCAGACCACTTGTCCATCACAAGGTTGGTCTTGTATCCAAACTCGATCACCTGGTTTCAGTTGAGGAAGATCTTTTACTCTGTGTGGTTTTTCAAAGTTGTTTTGTTGCTTGCTTTAGACAGCTGGCTGGAGTCCCCTTTTCTTTCTACATTCCTATACCCTCAGTTGTCACATTGGAATGTTTTCCTGGATGGACTGGCAACTGGGTTTGAAGAGGGAAGCCATGGGATAAGCCATTTTTAAGTGGAGTTGATCAGATTATGTTAATCATTCTACCTTGCCTCAGATTATGTTAATCGCTCTACCTCGCCATTCTTTGTGGATATTTGAGGGAACTTGTCACATGTGTGAACTCATTCATATTCAGCAGCAAACTCATGAAAGCATTCAGCATCATGTTGTGTAACATTGTCTGATATTATCTGGACAGAAATACTGTGCATGGCAAATGTCTCTTTGAGGGCTTACTGGTTTCATTGCACAGCTTTCTACTTTACTACCCCGCAAAAAAGTGCATTGCATATAAGCAAATTTTCTGCAATTTTGGAAAAGTTTTATAGGCGCATGAACTTATAAAATTTCGCTTGTAGGCGCACCTGACTCTCCTACCCAGACCTACAACGCGCAAGGGGTACGATAATAGACCTTTATAAAAAGGTTGACGTCAGCAGGCTTGTGACGTAGTTTGGAGGAAATCCCGAAAGCTTAGAGTTGTTTACTTGTTTTGAGTTTTTTAAGAGCCAAAAGAAGCCAGTATTATGGTAAGTTTGAAGTAAATATTTCTATATATAGGCCAAATAAGTTTTCATATTCGTTAGAGTTTAAATTTTATTTGTTTTTATATTAGATTGTACATTTATTTTACTGTCAACATTTAGCAAATTGTTCGCTCGGTTTGTTTACATATTTCGTTGCTAAAAAGTATATTTTTTTTCTTTTTTGTTTCTCAAATTCATCAGTTTAATCATCAGAATGACCCAACCTGGCAAAACCTTGATAGGAAATTAAAGCTAGATTGTTGACCCAGACGACACGGAAAGTGTTATACACGATTGATAAAAGCTACTTGTCATGTATGTTCACTTCAACTATTTATCGATAAAATAATAGACTTAGTCTTAGTTTATATGTCTAAGTTCATTTATGACTTATGTACCTCTTTGCACGATCACTGAGCCTGTGTATTGCTGTCTACAGCTTGATTGGGGCCATTCTGATGATTAGACTGATGAATTCGAGAAACAAAAACGAAAAATTCTACTTTTTAGCAAAGAAATATGTAAACAGCCGAGCGAACAATTTGCTAAATGTTGACAGTAAAATAAATGTACAATCTAATATAAAATCAAATAAAATTTAAACTCTAACGAATATGAAAACTCATTTGGCCTATATATAGAAAAATTTACTTCAAACTCACCATAATACTTGTTTCTTTTGGCTCTTAAAAAAACTCAAAACAAGTAAACAACTCTAAGCTTTCGGGATTTCCTCCGCAAACTACGTCACAATCCTGCTGACGTCAACCTTTTTATAAAGGTCTATTATCATATTTTGATTTTCTGTGTCTTATGCAGGTGACAAATTTTATGAAGTGATGTTTTATTTCTCATCATATGTATTAAGAAAAGTG